ACCCTTTGTTTAAAATCTACCTTGCATTCTACATAAAAATCATATAGGGTGGGGTAGAATTTTTTATAAAATGTTAACTTAAGCAAATTTTCTGAATTGATAGGAAAATTATATCACAAGTGTGTCATCCATATATAATTTATGTAAAAAAGGTCTAACAGGCCCGGGGATCTATATTGAGGGGGGGGGTCCTGTCCTCAAGCACCTGAGAGAGAGAGAGAGAGTTGCCTGGAGTGGAGTAATAATTTTATCCTTCTGTCGGATGTCTGTTCCGTGGCCCAATCTGATTCGATCCACCCCGAGAACGCCCGTGCAAAAGATTGTGTCGTGACATTACATTTTTTTCTGGATCAAAAGTCAAGGTCAGTTACTTTGGACAGATTAAACAATGACAAACTACCCTGAGACACAAGCAGTCTCGATCGTTCTCTTTAAAGACCCTTTGATATATTTCCAGTTCTAGCATGTTTTAAAAACCATATTTGGCCATGTTCGGTTTATATACTTCACACATAGAGTAGTGACCTTAAATCAAGTTTTCAAGTCAATATGCAAGGTCATATCAGAGCTCTATGTTTAATAAAGATCTGATCATGACTTACTGCGAGCATTTTAAAAATTTGAACTGAAGAGCTCTCGTGCGTATGTAAGAAGAGTGCAATATAATAACCTTTAACAAAGCAGACCTCTGTGTAAAAAGGTCAGAATTCAATATACATGTAAGTGCAACCTTTGTGTAAAATCCTTGAGTAGGATATATATATATAATTATTTCTGGTCCTGGATCATTGTTAAAAAGGGTAAAACTTTAATCGATTAGATTTTGGACATACATGTATGTTAACTGAAACCTTCTAATTTGCTAGCTCTAAAAATTGTAAGCCTTATAAAGGGCAGAAACGCTTTCCCAGTAAAAAATTCTTACGCTGCTTTATATGCATGTATCTCATAATTTCATCAAATTTGAAAAATATACAAATTGATTTAATATCTATTACATAAAGAATTTTCAATTTAAAAAATGCCACAGTCTTCATGCTTTACGCAAACAAGAAAAGGTGGCTACACACTTTTTCAACTATAGGCAACATGAGAGAGAGAGAGAGAGAGAGAGAGAGAGAGAGAGAGAGAGAGAGCTTACAGTGTACAGCTGTATATATTCCTTCGTCCCACTTTCTCTAATAATTTCTAAGGAATGATAATCCATTGAATAATCTCATATAACAGCCGTAAAATGACGTTAAAAAGGCACACTCCCACACAGTGTAAAATTGATGTATGGGTTGTATGTGCATGTCCACAGCTAGTATATGAATGACTTGGACGATATTTACCTATTTCTGAAGTGGAAACAATATCACTACAGAGTAATAGGGTAACATGCAGGAAATGCTCTCTTGTACACGCCGAGTCCAGACAGGAAACTGTAGTTATACTTAGATACCTTAAAAACAGGTCCTATGTGCATGGATGCTTCCTTATGAGGAGGAATGTAAACTTTCATTTAAAATTCATTTAAATTAAAATTTCATTGATTAACCCAAGGAGCAGGATGTTACACTAAGGTTAAAAAAGGTAACTAGGGAGATCAAAATGCATCTAGCTATACTGTATGGTTGTCCCTTGGATATATATTCCATAAAATCATTGAAGACAACGTATAAATTCATACAACCCAAGAAGAAAATCAAAGTACTGAAAGTACTGATAGATGGAGGCTTCATGTATGAGAGAACACAAAAAGAAATACATTTGTCATACATTGCTGTAAAGAATATTATTAGGAATAATGTGAAGTATTTTTTTTAAATTCAACATTTGTTTAAAGGATACTTCAATATTCATGAGGTTGTTGGGATATTATAATTTCATCTTTGAAATCTGAACTTCACCTTGATTAAAGTTCACTGTGATTTAAATCAAATACTTTCAATAAGAGACACCTTCAACGTAAGGAACAGTAATTGACCAGGCCTGGGTGCCATTAAACTTAGACGGGCTCACTTTTTATCTCAGTCTCACTTAAGAAATATTTAGTGGAAAAGTGAGACTGAGATCAAAAGTGAGCTTGTCTAAGTTTTATGCCCCCAGGCCCGGTTTGATGAATGTAGGTCTAGTCTGTTCTAGTCATGACCCCACTGGCGGATTTAGAAGGGGTCCCGGGCCCCCTCCCTTTTGAGTCCAAAAAATATACAATATTTGATAAATGAATGTTTTAATTGTGCCTGTGGACCCCTACCCTGACCTCAAACTGGTCCCCTCTATTTCAAAATTTCTGGATCCAGCACTGGGCCTCAGCCAGTCAGGAGTTTCCATATTTCAAGATATCTTATTTATAGGTCACAGAGACCTACCATTAACATAATTATGTCATCTACCAAAATCAAAATTTCTCGGCCTTATTGTATAAATGTTATGATATGAGCCAACAGGAAAAAAGAAGCAGCCAGATACCTAATTGGACATGAACAACATAATATAGTACAGTTTGTCTTAAACCTTTGTGATAAAATATGGGGTGACCTAGCTTGAAAGCAACACGGATTTTTTTTAAAGTAATACGACTTCATTAACATGCAGTACATGTTCTTGCCAGAACACAATTTTTTGAGTGGAATAAAATATTATGCTTTCTTACTTTATGTAATCAGAACAAATAATTTCATAAGACTTGCTATTTCACAGCTTTTTGTGTGTGGAGAACTACAGTATTGCTTATAATAACAAAGATATATCTTGACAAATTTGCCAACCAATATTTCAGGAAGTATTAAATGTAGTATTATATCATATGACAGATTTAACCCCAAAAATGCCTTTCTTTACTCGTATACCAGTGGAAATGATTGTCCTTTTCAGTTTATGTGTTTAAAACAATCATTAACAATGAGACATGATTACAAATTATGTAGAGAAAAAGTTATAAATATATGACTATGATTTCTGCTTTTCAGTTACTCTGTTGAAATAATCACTTTACCAATGATATAGGGTAAAAAAAATTGACACGAATACCAACGATAAGAAATACATGTAAACTTTTATATAAAAAAAAAAAATTAAAGTTTGAGATGTGAAACAGGTAAAACACAAATATCAAATGCAAATAAGTATAAACAATATTACAATAAGACAAATTATTTGAGAAGATATAATTTTTAATCATTAATCAGGATATAATGTGATAAATCATGTAAATCCTATAAACCATGTATTTGGCCATGGGTTGTAACCAACGGGTCAAACGTAACAGATGCATATTGATCTCAATATCAGAGTTGCCGTTCGTTTCACTCTTAGAATGTTTGGGCATGCCGAATGTATGCCAAACACTCAAACCGCTTGTAGAAAGTGTAAATTTATTTTCATGTATTTCCTAAAATTATACATATTAAATAAACAATTCAAAACTAGACTATAAATATTCCTACAGATAAAAATATTGTGTATGCATTGTTTATTCATCGATCCTTGTCAGATTACAAAACTCACAAGAAACATATTGACGCAAGCGTCAAAAATCGGCCACAAACCAGTTAATTGTCCCTTTCATGAAGAAATTAGAAAAGGAATGAAAAATGGAGATTACAAACAGCAATCAAGCACAAAATTCCACTGAAACTGAAATGCTTGATATGTTATTAAAATATCTTATATTTATCTGTTAATTAATATATCCCTGTGACATAAAACATTTGCCTGCGACATTGCAGGATTTTCTTCAATACATAATACAGGTACATGTACATTACTACATTTATAAGCAAACTACTCATAGCATAGCCATCTGCGTCTCCACACTCAGTTTGGTACAAGCGAATTCTGGTGGAAGTTTGATGTTTAAGAAGTTTTTAAAATTAAAACTAAATTCAAACTTATCTATAAGATAGTTTTACTTTAATAAAAAAAAAACAATAGGTAAGTGGGGTTCCTCGATCGCTCTCCGAGGATGTTAAAACCCTCCAAACTCCCTCCACAGGCACCTGAAGTATGGACAATACCCCCCCTTTTTTTTTTTAATGAAAAAAGAATGTAAGAGTGTATAATACCTCGAAAATATAAAATTTCCCCGTCAAACACATCTATATGTCGTTATATGCAAGCAGATTGTACTTTTTCTCACGTTTAAAGAATGGCCCTATTCGGTATATAATAAAAATACACAAGGTAAGAAACAAAAGTTGTAAACAAACGGGGGGTTCCCCACTTCGAGACAGATTTCCAAGGTAATAACAGTGTTACCTATCATAATTTTGCAAGCACTCTGTCTGGGAGATGTTCATTTACTAGTCTCTATAGCCTAAACCCCGCCATTGATGTTTAATATGCCGTAATCGGACGATTTATTAATCGGATAAATAAAATTTTCTCCATTGGCAGCGTTAGAGGAGGTTTTGGAGTTGCTTTTCTGTTTCGCCTTGTCTGATTGGTTAGATATTTAAACTGTATTACAATTAACCAATCAGATAAGGCGAAACAGAAAAGCAACTCCAAAACCTCCTCCAACGCTGCCAATGGAGAAAATTTTATGTATCCGATTAATAAATCGTCCGATTACGGCATATTAAACATCAATGGCGGGGTTTAGGCTATAGAGACTAGTAAATGAACATCTCCCAGAGAGGGTACTTGCAAAATTATGATAGGTAACACTGTTATTACCTTGGAAATCTGTCTCGAAGTGGGGAACCCCCCGTTTGTTTACAACTTTTGTTTCTTACCTTGTGTACTTTTTAGGCGGAAGCCGCCTTTTACTTTTGCAAGATTTGTTGACCTTTCGACCTCTCAAGATGTTTGCCCCGCTTCATGGTACTCCAAACGGAGCAGACAACCCGCTAAATCATATTCGACCCCTTTCCCAATCTCTATCGTTATTATCATATCAAAAAGCGTGTGTTAAGCGTAATTTATTTGAAATTTTTTTTACTTTGATTAATGTAAAAAAGTCCAATAAAAATAATAGCCTAATAATAGAAGAAAAAGTTATTTTAGTACTCCTGATACGTTTCACAATTGAGAGAACACATTACATGAACAAATCGGGTTCAACATTTGATTAGCACGGGATCCTGACGCGATCTTTAGAAATACTACGAGGGACAAAATAGTTCAAGTAGGTAATTATATTTCAGAATTAATGACAGGTACATAGCTACTGAGGAACTAATCTTTTCAATAATCTTGTATAAAGTAGAAGGGAAGAGGTATGTAACTCGTTTTTTCAATTGTTAATTTATATATAAGAACTACATTCGCGTAATAATCTAACACAAGACGATTCAGCGTGAAATTACTGTCAACAAACCCACGTGGAGCACAAATTATTTACAATGGTTGAATGGAAGTGACAGACCCTCTTTTCAAAATAAGCAAGGTAACTCACGCTGTGTGATTATCTTATCTATTATTGTCACCCTTATCTTTTATTGTTTTAACTTATCGCTTCCCTATGCAGGCATGCATGCTTCAGCTATCGTAATATGATAGCTGTTATGGTCGGGTCTTATCGAAGATGAACAAACTGGAGAGTGTACTCTATAATTACCATGATTACATGCCTGGGAGAAATTATTTGAGGAATTATCATTCCGAGTTTGTGTATGCATTTATATATCTTATCTCATTTAATGTAAATACATGTGTGTTGAAGGATGGGCCAAAACTGTAAAATTTGGACAGAAGTTAAGACACAAGCATAAGAACTACATTGTATTTTGTGTCCCTACGGAGGCAGCTAACAGAAAATGGTATATAAATAAGATTGAACCGTGAATTTGCTCTGTGTCACCTCTAAATAGCAGCAGAAAACTCAACTCTGCACAACCAGAAAAACTTTTCTGAAGGTGAGTACATCAATTCATTATATTTCTTGTGGAAAATTTTTTCATAAGTTTTGATACATATTTTTGATAGCATAACAGAATTAATGTTCTTGTTATGTCATGATGGCAAAAATGAACAGAATACTATTTTTGAAAGTATATTTTGACATTTCATTTCTTATTTTTGTTGACTTGGGTATTTTCTTTTCATTTTTTTAAATACATGCAAATACATGATGAATAGTAGGCGAGAGAAAAAAAATACAGCAAAAATATTAGGGAAGTCAAATCGGTCAATTTTTAATAATCACTTACTCTGATTTTTTCCCAATTGAATACACAGTTACATGGTAAAATGTAGATAAAAGTTTGATCTTGAACCTAGTTAAATTAAGCTCTGTTAACCCACAAAACTTATTTAATTTATCATTATCATGTTTATCAATATAAGACATGTACAAATAATTATCAATTCCATTGGAAATAATTTGGTACTAAAATTAGTTATCAAATAAAACACAAATGCACATTACACCCAAAATTACAAAAGGTTGTTTTAAATGGATCTATTTGACAAACTGCTGTGTACATATGTAGGTTATATAACTAGAGAAAGAGAGGGGACGTATGTTATTGGTCATGATCGCTAGTCTTATATTATATCATTTGTTGGTTGTTTCCAGTATGCATACACTAAACATACTACACAAGTTGACTTTCAACAGTTTTGAATCTTTCGTTATTTCTATATAACAACTTCACTCTTGAAGTGGGTATAGTGGCATTGATTTCTATGCAGGTCAGATTTCACTGAATGAATTACCATTTGCATGTTTTAGTTATAATTGATAAGTTTTTGATAAAAATGTGTACCTTGAAATAAGAAATAATATACATCTGAGTAACCGAGTAATTTTTGTTAAATAAACATTATGAGATATTCTTAATTATACATTTTGTAGAAAATTCTGCCAAGAGACAGTTGTGGGGGAAATGGTGTAGATTATCTCCAGAAAAGAAATGAACACTGATATTGGGATGTATGTAGCAACATTTTACAAGGACTTGCCATGGTAGAAGCTCTCCTGAAAAAATATTCAATTTATTGTGGACATCATGACACAGAATTAACCTGTCATCAGCATTAGAGACTTGTGATTTTTTCTACCTGGGCCATACATGTATTAAATAAAAACAATTCATAGAACCACAAGCACATTGTAAATCTATGTAAGGTCTTCTATGTATGTTGCATCCTTATTTAATTTGCTGTTTTATAACAAGACTTTGTTTCATTGGTACTAAAACTTAATACAAAAAGCAGTTGTGATATTTATTGTTTTCTATTACTCATTAGTACTCATTTTTGTGTGAAATTTTGTAATTATCCATTTCTTGTTCCCCAAAACCATATCTAACAAATGTTATGTATTGCAACTTTCATTTCGAATTTAACTTGTTATACATGTACTTGACAAAAACTAGAGGTACTGTGAGCAATGAGCTCACTAAATGATACCCCCACCTCCCATATTATTATAATGGAAAAGTCCATGTTTTGCTGTGGCTGGGAAACACAATATGTGTCGAATCAAAAAGTAAAAAAGAAGTTGTACAATCAGATCAGTCTAATACGAAAATTCGTAATATTACGAAAAAACGTTAGATTACGAAAAAGCTTAATATTGCAAGCTATCGTTATATTAATATAATAAATTTCGTAATGTAGTTAAATTACGAATACGCGTAATATAGCAGATTGTAAGAGACTATATTACGAGTTTTTGTAATCCAAGACAAATTCAAGCATTGCAAGAAATTGAACGTTCTCTCGTAATATTACGAATTTTTGTATTGGACTGGACTGACAATGGCAATATGTAATAAAGATTCTGTGAAGGTTTCATTAAATTTCACTCTGAGGTATAAAAGGAGTTGCGGATAAGAGATGAGTACCCCAAAGCGTAACATACAGACGGACGAACATACCGATTACTGTATACCCTCCCGATGTTCAAGCGAGGGGGTATAATAAACGTTAAAAAGTTCATTTTGCTATTGACGTCACTTATTCTCATGTGTCCGCTTCAAAAGGGAGACATATTGTTTATTCTTGTTCTTTGGTTTCAATGCTACAATCCATCAAAATATTTATTACCCCCCCCCCCCTTTAAAACAGATTATGCTTCAAATATGTGTCATTAAAATTTTGCACCTGAAAACTTGCAATCATGCTTCCGCCTATCAGTACTCTCAGTACTTTGATATTATATACCGAATAGGGCCATTCTTTAAACGTGAGAAAAAGTACAATCTGCTTGCATATAACGACATATAGATGTGTTTGACGGGGAAATTTTATATTTTCGAGGTATTATACACTCTTACATTCTTTTTTCATTAAAAAAAGAAAAGGGGGGGGGGTATTGTCCATACTTCAGGTGCCTGTGCTCCCTCTAGATCCGCCACTACATTTCTTCTCGTTCTCGTTTTGGTGTAAGAATTGGTGGGAAAAGGCTCGGAATATTGTAAAACGCGCTTTATCATCGTCTGTAGGAACAAATCTCCTAATATTTTGTCTAATAAAAAATTAACATTTAATCACATTTTTAACATCTATGGTAGGAAATACACGTCATTTTAAATATACTCTATTCTCTGACCTTATTTATGGGCGCCGCCATGTTTGGATCACATGACTTGACGCCATGAAGGTGCTGATAACGTCATACTCAGTGGAGTAACTTTTCTCCGTTATTCATCAATTTTTTGGCTTATTACTTATACAAACACGCGTTCATATGAAGTAAACGTTAACTGATTCATTCTTTGATTTGGTCTTATTTTTTTCTTCATTGTTCGTGTAATTATATGTTTTAAAATAAATAATGATCGATTGATTGTTATTGTTTTAGGCAGAGTTAGTTATATTTCATCCGTATTTCAGCGGTTTAAAAAATATTAAGCCGGGTTTTCTTTGAAATAAATTTTACATGTAGCAAGATTAAAAGGTAAAAACTTATATAAGTAAGAATATTATATCTTTTACACAGTGAGAAAGAGGGGGTGGTCTCGGGTATAATTATAACAGGTGCGTAGTAAAGCCATTTTGGAAAATAAATATTAGATACAAATAAAATCAAATATACGACTGGAACTTTTTACAATTCCTGTTTTCATTTCTGCGATGATTATTTTTCTAGTTCATTATAAGCTGTACATATACGTGTTAAATTATTCATTATTCATGGGTTCTCGTGAGATATTGGCAAATGAATATCTAGGATGTTTTAAAGAGGGGCGATCGAGTTGACAACTGATCCTCCCCTTTTAACTTACCCTTCTCGTATTTATTCACATGTCATTTTAAAAAAAAAATTGCGTGCCATGGACGTTAAACAAAATTTATAAATGACGACAAAATCTTTTCCAGCCCCGACACATCTACATCTGTCATTGTGAATATTTTTTGACTAAATTTCTTAGGGATATATGTGCATGATTTCAATATTATTACAGATTGATCAAGCGGATCATTGATTTATTTAAAGTATCACCCTTCCCTGCCTTGATTTCCTTATCTATTTCAGGTTAAATTGCTTCCGACGCCTATATTATACCGGTATAACGATAAATCTAGAACTAATTAATTACTCCAATTTTATCCCTTTTTCTTTCTTTTTTGCAGTTTTATATACAGCTTCATGTGTGTACTTGACTTTGAGTTAAATGCGGTTGAAGTTTTAAGTTACGTATACATGTGTATATCTCAGAATGCAAGTCAGTTTAATGTTCACACAACGCTTAACTTCCCATTTTTAAAAAAAAAAAAGTGTGTTTTTTTCCTTTCCTAAGTGATTTCACACAACCAACATGTGTGGAATCATTTCATAAAAACGATAATCGTGTTTAATATTACAGCACACTCTAAAATGATATGAAAATTTTGTTTAGATTTTTCCTACTCAAATGTTATAAATGTAATACATGAAACTAAGTCAAGTTTAAAAGAAAAAAAGGGGGGGGGGGGTAAAATGATTTTCTCGGCATGTTCATATACGTGATTGTATATAGGCCAATGTGAATTGTAATTAAAATCAGATAAAGAAGAATAGAAAGTATTAATTTTTTTAGTATATCACTTTATAGAGTATGAAATAAATTAATATCCGTAAGGTAAAATTGAATAAATAACACGACGGTCGTCTATAGATTTTCTCGACTGACACATATATATATTTTTTTTTTATATAAAATGGGAAACAAAAAAAAATTAATTTTGTCTCAATTTATTTGTTATTGATAATTATTTTTATTTAGTAAACCAGCAAATGGTGTATAAAATTATATACTAAGCGTCAAATAAAAAGGTTTCAGATACCTACGAGCGGTTAACTATAGTAAAATGAAATTGAAAACTTGACTTAAAAAACACACACACGTGTATATCTTCTCGTTAAATTTATTTACTATACTAACATACTTTTCCAGTCGTATCTCAGCATGTCCGACTTTGGAAAACAAAGAAAACAATGCATTTGTCACCCATTTGTTCATAGTGTTTACTGTCACTCTTATCACATTATCAGCACCGTGTGACAAAGCGCGATAACTCTGTAAAACTTGTGCAAAAGAATCGTGTATATACAATAAAATCCTGTTTATATAGAGAAAGTAAAACTGTTTCTTTATACATGTATGTAACGCGATCTTTGCTTTAGACTATGCCCATCCTGGCGGCCGGTAATGAAAACAATTCCACCGATAGATGGTGCTTGGTGAATCCTCATTATTTGACGTCATGGGCAAGACATTCACAATATAAGGAGGCTGTCATACATCCTCCGTCTAAAAACGCATGGGCGAAGATACTTGACTAGCTTCAACGATTCAACGCTTTGCAGCAGTCTGTATTTATGTTATCTTCGGACTGGAGGTCATCCTGATAAACTTCATAAATTAGATACCATCTTATATTTCTGATTTTAAATCTTCTTAATTAAATCAATATAATAATGGTATACCCTTTTTTGAACTCCCTAGATAATTTCCGGCATTGAAAAGCACGCATACACCCAAAAATCTACTCACATCGGAAGATAAAAAGAAAGACAACTCCTTTTTGTGTCCTTTCACTATACATTCTTAAATCAAATTTCTTGAAAAATATAAAATAATAAAACGTTATTGTTTTAGTGTTTTTCATTCTAAAGGTATAATGCAGAATTATCACAAGAACACATAATTTACACAATGAGCTGCAAATATGTAGCCCGCTGGTCTGAAAAGACCACAGAGCTACAGTGCCAGCACAGAGTGAAAAAATGTATACAAGTTGCATTTATTGCACACAAAAAAGTGCACTGTTCCTCGATTTATTTCTCCTTTTATATATGCTGCCATCTCAAAAATTTACTTACCGTACTTTCCTAGCATATTCTTTTACCACTTCCACAACAAAACATTTCCCATCGAAAATTTCGTCTGTAAAATGTAAATACTGCCATATTAGGTGGCAAGATAATTTGGTCCATTGCGCTTCGTGTATGACTTGTACATGCAGTTTGTTGTGGAAGTAGTTACTAGTAAAGAATATGTTTGAAACACACTGTTTGTAAATATTTTGAAATATACGATTTAAATAATCGAGAAAAGGCGCACTTTTTTGCGCAATGCTAAATATAATTTTTTTTCAATAGATGGCACTGTAGCTCTCTGGTCGTCCATCCAATTTTTTTCAGACAAACGAGCTACAGAACTGTAGCTATTATACAATGATTAATATTTCTTAGACAAGATGTGTTTGTGAAACGCTGATGCCCCCGTATGGCAACATAGCGAAGATTAAACGTTTCTTAAATGCAAATTAAATAAATTAGTACCCAAAGAAGGGTCTTCTCAATGGAAATACAATTGTGAAATATGAAAGCCCTAACACCTTTTGTTCAAAAGTTATGGCCAAGATTTTGAAAGGTAGGTCAAGGGGTCAATGTTGTTAGTTTCTTAAGAAAGGTCTATAATGTCAAAAGAATCACATATGTGAAGTATGAAAGCCCTAGCCCTACCCTTCAAAAGTTATGGTCAAGGTTTGTTTTTTAAAAGTAGGTCAAACTCTAAGGTCAAGGTCAAAGGTTCAAAGTTCTTTGTATCCAGTGAAGGGTCTTCTAGTATCTACCGTTCAAAAGTTATGACCAAAGTAATTAAAAGTTTGGAATTTTTGTGTAAAGGTGGGTCAAGCTCCAAGGTCAAAAGGTCAAATTTGGTGGTTCCCACAGAAAGGTCTTGTCACAAGGAATACACATGTGAAATATGAAAGTCATAGCTCAACTAAATCAAACATTATGGACAAGGTCGGGTATATTTTAAGCGGGTACATCAGCTAATGTTTTGTGTTGATGTACCCGACTTCAAATAAATATTATCTTATCTTAAGGTTCAAGTTTTCGCAGACAAACAGACAGCTAGACA